CTTCCTTCCCTTCATCAGTCCCAGCCTACAATTTCATGTTTCTTGAATTCTTTTTTTCTTTAATGATCATCCACACTTCTCAGTTAAATTTTCCAGCTAACTAGCACAATCTTACCTTGCTCTTCGTTTTATTTCAAAGCCTGAGTTTAGAACTTGAATTAAGTTTGAACAAACCCAAAACTCTAAGGGATCTAATCAGCAATTGAGCTCTCCTATATTCAGAGTTTGAGTGAAGTGTAATTTAACCTGATTTCATGCTAAATTCTTATTCTGAATTTCTTAATACATGGATGGGTGAGCATACTAATTAGCTTTGACTTGGTTCATAGTTAATTATATCCATCATCACTCCATCTATATTATTTTTGGTCTTCCTCTTTCCTTAATGAATCACACACACTAAATAAATGTCTGACACATGAATAAACAAAATAACGTATAACTCACAAGTCACGAGCAAAGAAAAATATATTATAAGAAATTATAATTTAAACCAGTGACCAATATATGCTTATTTAAACTGCACAAACCAGTAAAAGAATCAAACCCCCATAAAAGGTTCACCATCAAAATATCAACCTGAAATTGATGACAACACCTGTACATATATTTCTTCTTAGCATTCTCTTGCTAGAACTTAAATAGTGAACCAGATTAAGAACATCATAACGACAAGAAGTTAGCAATTGAACAAATAAGTACGAACAATACTGATCAATTGTTTTTCTTACAAGAAATAAAAGTTATTAAAACAAAGAACCAGAAACGAAAGATAAACATATAGCCATAGTACAAGATACAAAAGCTGGGTGGATAAGAGATCCACCAACATTCTGTTAAAGAAATCATCAAAACAAAACCAAATTACAACTGTCCTCAATTGTATGTACAGAAGTTCATCCTACATCAATCCAACTGACCTCACACCAAAAAGTACTGAGGAATTAAAAGTCATAACAACTGACCTCACACCAATCTAAGCAATCAATGGCCTTGACTTCCAAATGTTTCTTATGCCTAGTATGTTTCATCTGACGACAAGCACGCCACATGACCGTAGGTTCCCAGCTTAGACCTGATGCAGTTTCAAGCACATTGCTCACAATCACAGGCTCACCTCTGATCCAATGACATTGAAAATGCTTAAACTCCTCATGTTGGATATCTCCAGCCCTTGGACAGTACAAGAAGTTGTCATCAGAACCCTCTCGAGAAGCTGCTTTCCTTAACTTATTAGAACATGAACACCGTTGTGCAGAAGTTCCAGCGGCGTGCGTAAATTTGTAAGTTTGAGCAATTTCCTCTGCTTTCTTAACCAACTCTCTGACATCATTTTCAGAAAACATGCATCTCAATTCTAGAAAACTTTGACCGCAACCATCCTTGTCCTCTGGGGGGCAAGAAATACTTCCATCTAAATTTGCTTTCCACTCAGATGTTGACCATGTACGACAAGTGTGGCTAGTTTCTGAAGGCAGTTCTACAGCGTCCCAATTTTCACCATGCAAATAGTTTAGGCCCTGATTGATATAGTCCATAATCACTTCCTCCCCACCACCCAGCAGGTGTCCATCTCGAATCTCTCGGCAACAGATGAGGCAAAGATCATATGAACATATAGGACAGCTTCTGTGTAAATCAATAATAGAAGTTTTGCAGTTGTTGCTGAAAAAGAAAACAAAAAAGTTAATATTGGATCCTTAATAGGTATACGGAACAAATCTATAATAGAATAAATTTCTGGTAAAGGCTCTACCAGTACACTCGATCACCATAAGAGGAATTTGATCGCTGTATCTTTAGCTCCGAAAGAGATAGCCCTGTCTCAATGGACATCCAAAAAGCAAATTACAAATATGCAGAAAGTTTTGTTAATATTTTGTGTTAGGTCTTAGGTGATAAAGAAAATAATATCACACTGATCACTTATTTTGCAAATTAAAGAACCAAGTTCACACGTTTTTTTCCTACAATCAGAAGCAACCCCAAGGAAGAATCAAGAAACATCCACTAGGAAAATCTGAATAAAACAAATTAATGTAACATAAAGAATATACCTATGTGTGCCTGTGTGTGTGACAATGTCATTTGCAAACCTGCTTCCTTTCGCCCAAAATCTATTCATGCAAAGCCATCTTCTAATCTTACATCCCACACCCAAAATAATTATACTTATGGGGGGAAAAACTCTTCATTGTAGTCACTTGAACACAAAGTTATAAATTATAACCCTCCTTTTCAAAATATTAGATGACATTGGAAATTTGGGAACTTTTTTAGGTGGGGTGTGAATCATTATAACAAATGAAATCTAGGAATGTAAGAGTGGTAAATTAAGCGGATAGCTTAAGGTCCATTATAACAATGAAATCTAGGAAATGTAAGAGCTGGTAAATTAAGCGGATAATTTGGGTACTATAACAGTGGAAGAACACTATGTATCGTAATCAAATTTCAATAGGAAGTTTCAATACTTTCCTTTAAATACAACGAACTTCTGTATGGGTTTGTTCTCTTGGTTAACAGTGTTTCAAGTAAATTTAGTCACTGTTTTTGCAGTTCTTGGACTGCACTTTTATTTGTATCATCAACAAACTCCATATAATAAGTTCCTACACCTGTCTGACATAAACAGAATATACCTCGTCTCCTAGCCTCAATCTCCATCTCAATCATTTGTTCATCATTAACTCTTTTCAAGAATGGAAGCAGTACTTGCAGCAAATACTTTGAGTGCTCAACTTTTTTATCTTTGCTAATGCAGAATTGCAGCTGACGCAAAAAAAAAAATTTACAGTGAAAACCATAAGATTTTATCAAACTTCACATAAATAACATATGAAATGAACAGGCATGAGGTGAAAATCAGGAGATGTCTGAAGAAGGATAAACTGACATTAGGTACATCTAAGCGTAAGCATGCTTTGCAATTACAATTTCCACGGCATACAGGACAAGCCTCAGCAATAGCATCCTCTGACATCTGAGGATACCTATACAGTACAAAACTTCTAAATAAGTAGTCATAAAAGCTATGTAAAGAAAAACTTCAAATATCAATTCAAAATATTTGGAGTATTACAATTACACATAAAAAGAGACTTCTCTCAGTACTAGATCCAGTCCTAACATACCCCAGGTTCCACCCATTAATTTAAAGTTGATTCTAAAACCTTTATTAACAAATATTGAGCAATTTACAGAGCAAAGGAAATTAGTTTTCTGGGAGTGCATCTATATTGCTTGATTACATACTTAGTCAAATGCATATAACTCTTGTTTTTTGGGTAACAGCACTTAGTCAAATGCATATAACTCTTTTTTTTGGGTAACAGCATATAACTCATTTTAACTAAATTTACAATAGCAGAATGAATTAGTACTTGGGCTAAGAAATTTATATAATTTTCCAAAAACCTGTTCAAAAACAAGTTGCTGGAAAATTAAATCCACAAACATCAGTTCAAGATACATGTACTGGATTTTACTAATAAAACTCACTTCAAAGAATGATGGAAGTCCAACAAAACTAATTCAAATAATCAACCATCTTTACAAGTTAGTAATCAGAAGAATCAATAAGATAGATCAAGCAAGTAATCCATACCATTTTTTTAGGCAAAAGATACAAAACCGCTTTCTCTTGCACCTTCTGCACCGAACAACACTGGCCTTGTCATTCCTCTGACATTGATGGCACATCAAAGACACCTCCTCAACAAACTGTTAGATCCAAAATCAGAAGTTATTACATAATCACAACAATAGAAAACAATCACAATACAGAGAATTACAAACATCATACTTCTGCACTCTTCTTATTAACAATACAATTCCCACTGACAAGCTTCTCCACTCCCCTTTCAGATGCCTTAACTTTCTCACTTTTCTTACTCTGTCTACCACGTTTCTTTGCTGAAGCTCCTTCAACTTCCTTGCCACTAAAACCAGTACTTCCTTGCCCTTGACCTTCTTGAGAGTCCAACTCACCGAAGACATAAAATTTCTCATTCCCCAGACCCATTGGACCCCATTTCTCATCACTCCCAGTCCGATTCTCAGAACCCATTTGGCATTTCTTTCTACCTCTATCACCACCTTCCCCAACTTTCTCAGGGACCAAATCTCTGTCCCTCTTCCACCGCCTATTATATTTCTTCCAAGTCGGAGCAACCCAATTGCCTTTACCCTCCTCCCATTTTGTTCCATCCCCACCTTCCACAACTTTCTCACCCGTCAAAGCTCCACCACGCTTCTTCTTCTTCAAACTCAAAGCAACCCCATCACCTTCTTCACCTACCCATTTTGTCCCACCATTTTGATTCTCCAAAAAGCCCTCTTTCTTCTCTAAACCCCCATCATTTTCTCCAAAACCCGCTTCTGGATCTTTCCCTGACCTCTTTCTACCTCTGCCCATCACACTCAACTCGGCACCAGCTTTCTGTTCTATCTACAGCTGAGAAGTTGAGACCTTGAGCTACAATCGCCCACCGTACAGATGCTACTGGGAGCTGGGAAGTTTTTTCTCCATTCTCAATTTTTGTTTTAATATTTTCTTCTCCCTTAGCTTGTGTTGTACTTGTACTCCAAGTTTCATCCCCCATTTTCTCTGTACGAGTGTGTCAGGTGTTTTTCCTTTTCTTCTTTTTTTTTTAAATTTAAAATTTAAAAATTACACGAATAGCCTTACTAAATATTTTGTTTTTCTTCCAGGAATATTAATTTACGAGAAGGTACAATTTGTGCGCAGAAGGGTTTTTTGTATTTTTGCAGAAAATAGGCAATGGCATCTTAATTTTCCTTACTTTTAAAAAGAATTGAGATTTTTTTATTTTTATTTTTTTGGGTTTTGGCTTCACCACATTTACAAATTACGAGGCAAGTTATTTTTGTTTAGAGAAATTAAAATCAGATGGAGGATCTGAACCTGAAATCAAATAGCTTTGTTTGGACAAACTACATCTCTGTCAATGCAAATAACAAACCAAACACAACTTGTGCTTACCAAAAGTATTAATTAGCATGCAAGCATCCACTGAGAAAATTTCAACAATGAGTTAAAATACACTAGGAACAAAACCTAACACAACCAACTACAGGAAATGTCCAACCAAATCGCTCATGTGTTAAGATAGAATCAGATATGTTAAGAATTTCAATATAAACCTGACATTATAAGATCAAAAAAGACGGAACATGAGATGTGATTCAGATTCTTTTGAGTAACATACACATGCTCTTAGAGCTTTACTTTTTGCCGGCTTTTTTTCCTGGTTTTGCTGGTCTTGCTGGTCCAGTAGTTTTAGCATGAACTCTACGTTTCCGTGTCATTGCAAATTCTCCAAATTTATGTCCAACCTTTTCTTCAGTGATCTTGCAACGAAAATGAACTTTTCCATTATAAATACGAACTGTAGAACCCACGAATTCTGGCAAAATTGTAGATCTCCGCGACCAAATTTTCTTATTCATAAGAAGATCTTTGTTGTTCTTCATTTTCATCAAGAATGCATCCACAAAAGCACCGTCGTAAAAATGAGACCTACTCAAAAGACAAACACAACCCAAAATCCAAATACCATAAGAACAGAGGAAGAGAAGAAAAAAACCCCAATAAAAAAATATAAAAGCATATACACAAACACAACATGGTGTGGTGACAACATAGTAGCCAAAAAGAAATAAAACATAAACCATGGTGACAAAATATTCATGGAAAAAAAGAGCAACACCGTAAAAGATACATACTCTTGCTTGGCCTGGGTACTGTAACCTGCTTTGTCCTGTTTACCCAATCCCACAGCCACTGTCTTTCCGGAGTTCAGCTATACCAAATGAACCAACCCAACCAACACCAACACCAACACAGCATCACATACTATCAGATCCATGTAATAAATGCATAAACAAATATGTATATATCAAGGTAATGCTACCTTGGTGAAGGACTCGGAAAAGAGTTTGCCAACTAGCCCATGGTTAAAGGTTGAAATTAGACGCTTTGCCATCTTTGTCTCTGTTCCCTGACTCTTAGAATTAGAATGGGTTGGGTTTTTTCTCTGATATGAGTTGCAAAATATGAAAATGAATCAGCAAAGAACAAATAACTTTCTTTTCATAAGAAAGAGAAGAAGTAGAGTAGCACATAAGAAAAGAGCACACAAGAACACCCATTCCTGATTCCTCCACAAATAACTCTCAGCCTTCATCTAATTTCACCCATTTGTATCAATAAAGTGTGAAGTACTTTAGTTAGCTTATGATGCAATTATCAACATCTAGTCAAAGAAGGCACAACCACTTAAACAACCCTACAAACCTGGATTACATGTCAAAAATAAAATTTATACAGAAGGCATGATGTTTGAACAGAAAGGGAGAATAGTTGATACAATATAGTCAAAGAATTAAATCCTACAAAGGCAACTGGACAGTGGACAACCTTATAAAGAAAATCCAGGCACTTCCAACAAGTTACCTCTGTCAAACCCATAAACAGAACAACCAAAATCAAATAGCCACAAGTAAAATACACAAAAGAATATTGGAAATTATCATAACTATTACGCATTTTCCCTGCTACCAAATGAAAAATAAAAAAAATAAAAAAAAAGTGACAAATTTACAATAGCAAAAACCCACATGCCTTGAAAATGAAAAGAAACCTTTGAAACGCCTAAAACCCACATGAGCATTTATACAAAAAGCCAGAGAAATAAAACAGGCAGATATGAACCTAATACAAATAAAAAGGGAAAAATATAATTTATTTCAGATGAGTGAAGTTGCTAAGCTGCAGAGAAACAAACTGAGCTATATGGCCATATGCACACATCCCGCATATCCACATATGGACAACTATGTATGAATATATATATATATATATATATTTTCGGGTTAGGGGATTGGAATTAGGGTTACCTGGGAAGGGAAAGGAAATGGAGAGTGAAGTTGCGCTGCCTGTGAAAATCGGAAATGGACGGAGGGAAGGACTGAATCCCCAAAACCTTTTCGTCGTATAATTTTATTTTTCTAGTACTGCTTGTTATTTAATCCAACTTTGTAGTATTTGCAAAACAGGTCAACTATTCTCAATAATTCCCACAGGGAACCACATAATTCAAACTACACTAGATAGGGAGCTGCAGTGCCCTAAAACCCAAATGGAAAAATGCCATTCTCAAGCCAATACGTGATACAGAAAACCAATAGCAACAACAATGATAGTTAAAACCCTGGAAATTAAAGAGAAAGAGGGAAGATTGAAATTGAAAAGAAATAAACATAATATGCGCCTCTTACCTGAGTCTTGTGGCTCAGCAGTGCGCCTCAATTGATCCAACGAGAAAAAACTGTAGGCAGAATGGAAGAAAAGGAGAGGAGTAGGCTCTGTGAAGCGATGGCGTAAAGAAGCAACGTCACGTGAGGGAAGGAGGAGACGACGCACCAAGAGAAGAGAGCCAGAAAATCGATAGGGGTATTTTCGGAATTTTTCAAAATTCATTAAAACCCAGCGCCTCAAATTTATCAGAAAATGAAACCTTATTATTTTCTCATAGGTTACCAACAGGGCAGGAATTTCCAAATTATTTTTAAAAAATCACATAACTCCAAATAATCAACTTCAAACGGGCACTTAATATTGCTTAAGCCATACATATGGTTGTGTTTGGGCCAAAAATTGACACACCCAGCCCAGCGAAAATTAGGCCCAGAATAAAACTGCAAAAAATCAAAGAAAGATGGAAGCCCAAAAAACCAGAAGAGACCAGCCCAAGGCTCATCAGAGCAAACAATGCTAATCTGGGCCTCACAGGCCCAAAATAATAGGAAGAGGGAGCCCAGAAATAGGAACAATCCCACGTGACATCTCTGGGATAAAGAAAAGTCAGCAATGGCAACTGTCA